AATTGAGAATGTATTGGTTATAGTTCAAAACTTTTAGATAAGAATTAACTACAAAGAAGAAATAAAGGCTTCTTTTTTAAGTTCTATTATTAGTCTTTAGAAAATAAATGTGATAAGTCTCATTCTTTATGTGAGGATGGAGTATTTTTAAATAGGTAGTAACAGATCATGTTTCATTTTATTTTCACCGATAGTGCAAAAGATCAATGAACTTGAAGCTGCTCTTCAGAAGAAAGATGAAGATATGAAAGCAATGGAGGAAAGATATAAAATGTACTTGGAGAAAGCCAGGAATGTGAGTAACATATCTTTCAGAACTCAAGCCTTCGTGGGCCGTGTTCTGATGAGGCCTTTTTCACCTGGTCATACTGTTGTTCTCATGTCTGCATCTAGTCACTTTGGTCTCAGCAGCCTTACCTTGCCTGTCAGGTTCCCGGGATGTCTCCACATCAGTCCTCGTATTCTCACTTATGGGTGTCAGAAAAAATAAACACATAGATTATAGGGACAGTTTACATATTGATCGTAGTGACCTCATTAGAGAAAGTGGCTGCTATAATGTATGGAATCTTCAGGTTTTAGCAAAATTGAGCCTTAAATTTTTATTTGCTAGAATCTTAGCAAATTTGCTAAGAATAAAATTTTCTAGAGTCTTAGCAAAATGAACATTTTACCTTTTGTGAAAATTTAGCTTTTTTAAACTTGTTTGAAATTGTTTTAGCATTTTGTCTAGATTAGATAGTTAAATATTTATCTATGTTCGTCAGACTCAAAGTTTAACAAGATAGAAGTTTTGTCCTTGATCACTTTCAGTGCAGTCCTGAGTGGGGAAGGGCTCTGCTTCGTGCACTCATGCGGAGTCCTAAGCTGACAGGGGCTCCACTTGACATTGTCCAACTAGGAGATGAGGAAACAGTGTAGACTGCATGGGAGATGTGTAATTTCAGGCCTGAAAACAGGGTAACTAGCTTTTACTCCCCTTTCAGTGGACAGAGCTCAGGCACATGGTCACACCTAACTTCTGGGGAGGAAAGACAAATAGCCTTGGTAAACATGCAGGCATTCTCTGCCACAGTTAAGTTTCTTCCAGTTACAAAAGTACAAATGTTTACAGTAGAAAATATAAAACATAGAAAGGTTCCCAGAAACAACTGTTGTTAACATTTTGGTGTATTTTCTTAATAGTGCATTTTTTTTGATGCATATATTCTCTA